ATTCTGGCTCTTTCTGGCATGGGCCATGGGGCCCTCATGAGCCTCGCCCAAACACCCCGCCTGACATATTCAGCCTCTTCGACGCAGGGCTTACTGCGCTGGCAGTGGGTGTCTACAGTGCTCGCTCGGCGACGCGTGTGGCGGGCCGTGTTCTAGCAGCTCGCCATAATGGAGTATTGATTGGGCTATACCTTGAGATTCCAAACAGCCCAAAGCAGTTACCATGTAGAAACTCTCGCTGGGCCTCAAAGCTTAGGTACTCTGTGTGTAATCAGTACCTGAAGTCTATAGGTTATAAGAAGCATGCCATCCGGATATCTACCCATGGCGCGGGAAAGATTGTCCGTGGTTCAGATCACTATGTCATAGGTTTCGCCTTCATCCGAAAAGCATGCTACAATGCTACAAACAACTCTGCACCCCTGTACACCACCTATGCCCTAAGTGCCATGGACCCTAAACCCCTGACTCACCATACCCTAAAACCGAAAGCCCTAAACCCTGATCCCTAAACCCTGAACCCTGAACCCCCCAAAAAAAACCTTGGCTCTAACCCACAACGCCTTCAACTCATACGAGCCCCGGGCCGGAACATGTGTCTGGCTTCCTCAGGAGAGGCACCTCAGCCGACCGCCTTTGGTGCGCGAGACGTCGAGGCTCTGCATCTTTGCGTTGGGGCACGGGCTTTGGGGTCATTACAAGCAGTGTCTCGTAGCGGCGTCGGCTTTGGTTTGGGGTTTAGGGGTCCGGGAGTTGTGGACTTGGGAAAATTGGCGGATCTGTTGTGTGTTGGTACACGTTTGTATGGCTTTGAACCGAAAGAAGCATTTTGGGATGTCGCGAGCATGGGCTGGATCATGTACTCTTGAAATCTTCTCTACCCATAGGCTCCATGGTAGTTCCTTCTCGTGGCTTGTATTTAGGATCCCATAAGCTAATCCCAAAAAGGAGCTACTATGGAGCCTATGGGTAGTGACAATAGCTGGGGTTCCAGGCTGCAGAGACACACTCAAAGATGATCCAAAACCCGCCATGCCGAGTGAACCCTATTCCACCCAAACTCCGAAGCTCCTTCTTGCAAAGGTGGTCCTGGCGGCCGCAGCTATCCTGGCTACCCGGGCGTGGCACAAGCACCAACCTCTTCGAAGCTTTGGCTCGCTACAGTTACTGATTTGATTCAAGTTGCGGATGAACCACCCAGCCCCCCTCGGCCAGATCGAAAAACTGACCATCTCATGAATTCAAGTCCCCTTCAAGGTCAAGTGTTTTCTTTGCGCCAGATTCGTGATTAGGTATGTCTTGGCAGGGATAGCTGTTTAGAAGAAGCTATAGGTACCCTGACAGGGATAGCAGTTTGGAAGAAGCGCGCTGAGCCGTGGACCCGAAAAGGAGAAGATCGTCTTGGAGGAGGCCCTCTCGGAGCGTCTTCAGTGGTCCACCAATGCCCTGCTCAGTGCCCAGCAGCAGCCCGGCAGCAAAATACATGACTTGAGTTGTATTGGGTGCTAGATTTACAAGCTCATGATGCCCAGAGGCCGGGTGTGCCTTGTCATGGAGGTTATTTGGGGCTAACATCGGCCCTCGATGACGAGAACCCATGCAGGTAGCTTCAGAGGAATTCAGATATGTCGCCTTCGGTTAGGGGCCTGCGTGTTCAGTTGAAGCCGCGCCTCCAAGCCTTTCAGGAACGGGACGCCCTTCCGCCATCTTCTCCTGCACGGACCTCCCGGTGCCTTTGACTGCACGGGGGCAGGGCTCGGATCACGGATTGAGGGATGGCGCCGGCCCTGAACTGCCCTAAACCCTAAACCTCAAAGCACCGGAATCCCCCACAAAACGTGTAAATCCTCGACTATGGCAACCGGAGCTGGGAGTTTGCATACAGAAAAACCACCCCAAACCTCGAACCCCTGTCAGGCCCTCGATGAGCCTCAGGGCTATCCCAAGCGACTGAGCCCCGAAGCCTTGGCCTTTTGGCATTTTCAGAGCTCCGAAGCTTTTCGCCCGAAGTCTTCAAGCCCTAAACCCTCCTAGACCCTACCCAAAGGCTCCATCGTGGTTCCTTTTTGGGATTATACCTTATAGGATCCTAAATATGAACCACAAAAAAGGAACTACCATGTAGCTTATGGGTAAACCCCCCTAAGGGTCCATGTACCCAAATAGTATATACTTCGGCCTTAAAGTAGTCCCTCTTTGACTTTGGGGCCAAGGTATCTACTATTTGGGTACATAGACCCTTAGGGCCCCAAAAGAAAGTCCCTGAGAGCCGAGCTCTGTTATGGAAGGCACCGGGAAGACGCTCTTCGCACGGACGCTGGCAAGGCAGTCGGGCCTGGACTATGCCATCATGTCAGGCGCCCTAGGGTTTAGGGGTTTAGGGGCTATAGGGTTTATAGGGTTTAGGGTTTACAGGGTTTAGGGCTTAGGGTTTATATAGGGTTTAGGGTTTATAGGTTTAGGGCTTATAGGGTTTATAGGGTTTCGGGTTTAGGGTTTAGGGCTTAGGGTTCAGAGGGTTTGTGGGGGTTATGGGGTTTATAGGGTTTAGCGTTTAGGCTTTAGGGTTTAGGGTGCTTTTCAACAGGTAGAGTCGGAGTTGACTCTGTTGACTGTTCCGCAAGCTTTGGTAATCATTTGAGGGTCATGAGTCAAGTTTGGGTAATCATTTGAGTGTTATGAGTCAAGTTTTGGTAATTATTTGAGGGTCATGACTCAAGTTTTGGTAATCATATGAGGGTTATGAGTCTGAGGGTTCCTCACCGAAGGTGAAAGTGGCTTTCGTGGGGAGTTGTCCCACGTGCTACCTCAGACCCTGTTACACCCCAAAGCCCTTAAACTAAAACTAAACACCATCACATGCCCCACACAAAGCCCTAACCTCTTGAACTCTCCAAAACAAGGGGCCTTGATAATTACCTCTACTATTTTTTTGGGGGGGTTCCTTACTATAGTTTTTGCACAATGTACCCCAAAACCCCCTATTCGAAATTAAGGCCCCTAAACCCTCAACCCCTCAACCCTGAACCCTAAACCCCTAATTAAACCCCGTATTTACAGTACCACATACCTTAAAACCCTGTTCGAATTATTAATTAAGGCCCCTACACAACCGGAACGCCTGGAAACCCTTTCGCTGCCGAAGGTGGCGACCTGGGCCCTCTTGGCCGCGATGGCCCCAACGAGCTGCAACCTGACTTTCCCGGGGTTCGAGTTGCAGGGTTTAGGGGGTTTGGGGGCTTTTAGGGGTTTAGGGGTTTTGGGGTTCAGGGGTTTTAGGGGTTTAGGGGTTCATAGGGGTTTAGGGGTTTGGGGGCATAGGGCTTAGGGTTTGGGGTTCTGGTTCTTTTAGGACTGGTGTTTCATTTGGCGACGCGAGGGCACAGCCTTGGGATGCTCACGGACAAGCCTTGAAACATCAAGGGTATCATTCTGGGCTCTTGTTACGGGATTTAAGGTAAGTTGCCACATTAAGAAACCCCATTATTTACTGTAGATCCCTACTATGGCAACTTAAATTAAATCCCTTGACGAGAACCCGGCATTGCGGCGGACCCATACCCCAAGGCTTAACGCGGGAAGCTGTTACCTCCCACACATGCAAGCTGTTAGCCCTGGGCCTGTCGGCAGTAACTCCCCCAGAATTGCCCAAATGGATCGTGCCACCCGAAAGCCTATAATCCCATCTGAGGCACAAGCTTTTCGAGTGGGCCAAGCGCTCGCGGAGAGGCCCCTAGAATTTTCAGTTTTGCAACTGCAACCAAAACATCGGGGGAATCGCTGGACTCCTGAGGTGATGTTAAATCTGTAGCCCAAATAAAAGCCCCTCAGTTTACGTCTGCAGCCCTGACTTAAGAGACCTAGTAATGCCTTGCAGTCTTTTCGAAGCTCGGCATCGTAGATGCCTTCGCCGTCGTGGTATTTTTGGGGCGATGTTCTTTCTGTTGCAAGTTGAGTTGTGCATCTTTCCAATTTCTAGATTTCGTACTTCCATATTATCCTGAGATTCAGAGCTTGTCTTTCTAGGGCTAGTGGCCGAGAGGGATCGCCAAGCTGCACCGGCTGCGGTGAGGCTCCGGGTCGAATCATACCCCCATGCTAACGCCCCAACAGTTTCTCAGTTGGCCAAGCCTAAAGCCCAATAGCCCCTAAACCCCAAAACCTTGATTCAACCATCCGAGAAATATCCCTGAAATCTATAAAGTCACCCCAAGCCCTCAACCATAGTTACACCTTCAGCCGACAAAAACGAACAGTGAGCTTGTGCGAAGCCCCAAGCCGTGGTTGCCCGCCTTGTGTTGCCCCTCCAGACCGGAACCTCATGTGCAGTACCAGGGCTAAACCCTCGAGTCAAGCCCTGAACCATAAACCACACAAAGGCCCTAATTTAGGGGCCTGAATAGAATAGGGTTTCGGGGTATATT